TTATTTAATGATTAGAAATGGAAGTTCATTACATATTGAAATGAAAGAACAATATCATATTGAAAAGGTAAAAAGAAAAAAGTCGTTAGTGTAATAACCTGTGACAAGATGAAAATGTCAAACAGAATTGATCTATATGTAATATGAGTCAGCAAATTCTAATGTATGTGTCTGTAATGAAAGATAATTACACAGAATAGTTCTATGTCTACTACAGTCGATGCAGAAAAACATTGTTGCTTAAGTGTTTGCAATATGGTATCGTAATCAAAGAAAATTTGATGCAACTCAAAGATTTCTAGAGCAAAGAGACTGATGAGGAAAGCATCTTTATTCTTGAAATATCGAAATTTTATTTAATATCTCCAGAAAGAAAATACTAATTGCATAATCGATTAATCTCATTAAAAAGTTTTTTAGTTTGAAGTCGAAATACGATGTTTCACATGATCACGACTTTCTGTTGAAATACTTAGTCGAAATTTCAATATCACAAGGACAAAGATCCGGAAAACTGAACCATTTTAGACTTTTCTATGACTCACGAGTACTGATCAAATAGATATCATCTCGGTCGAACGATGATTTGATATCTCGTGAGTTGCGTCTAGCCTTCTTAATTTCTAAATTTTTTGATATGATATACAGTATATGAAATGAGTTTCGTTTATACAAAATTGATTGATAGTAGAAATAAGTATTGCATTGATTTTTTTTTAATGCGAATTTTAGGTATTGTTACAGTTGAACTTTATAATAACATAATTCAAAGAAGAAATAGTGATAAACGATGATCCTAAGCGTAATTTATTGAGAAAAAGTACATGTTTGATATAATATTGTATACAATGACAATGATAAGGATCATTAAAAAAAAAAGGTGAAATTCATATTGAAGAGATTATTTATAATCAGATTTAATTTAATCCATAGATTTTATCGTATTGGTTATTTTATTAAAAACAAATGAAGGTCTTGGCACAGTTCTACAACAATTCTATCTCTGCTACGAACTGTGCCAAACCGATACAATTTTGAACTTTTTAAAATTTTATAATATTTCAGAAGGAAAATCTAAACATATATTTGGAAGAATTGAAAACTTTTAATTCTAATCATTTATCGTTTAGTATCTGAAAAAAATGAACAAATATATTTTTTATTTCCTCATTTTTATTTTTAGTCTTCCGGTCAAATAAAATTACATAATAATACAATAATAAATTATAATATAATTCCATCACAATCACCAATATTTTCTAAAAATTTCTATGAATTTACATTAAATCTTACAAATACAACAAATGAAAAACTTTTTATTGGTCAAATTTCAGCTCAACCTTACAATATAAATCGTAGTCATCTTATATATAAATTTATTAATCGAAATAAATATTTTCATATTAATCCTGATAATGGTATTATTGAATATATACCATCAAAATCATATAATAAAACACAAGAACATATTCAAATTCTAGTACATGATGTAATATATAATCAAAATACAACAATTAATGTAACTATATATATAAATAGACAAACTTTAACAACATTAATTTATCATAAAACAATATCAGAAATTCTTCCACCTGGTTCATTAATATTTCAAACAAATTATTCTTTAAAAGAAAATTATCAATATTATCTTAAAGATTATAATATAAATTTTTTTGAAATAAATTCAACAACAAGTGAAGTTTTTTTACGTAATTATTTAATTGATAAATTTTATTCATTTAAAATATTAATAAAACCAATTGAAGAAATATTTATTATTAAATTAACAATAATTGATTATAATAATTATCAACCAAATTTTTATAATTTACCATTAAATTTATCATTATCATTATCAAATAAATTTTTAACAAAAATTTCTTCATATGATTATGATTTAAATACAAATCAAATAATTCATTATTATCTTCTTGATAAAAATCAAGAAAAAATTTTTTCACTTAATCAAACAAATGGTATATTAGAATTAAATAATAAAAAATATTTAAATCAAACGAATATACAATTATATATTGGTATAACTGATAATTTATATTTAACAAAATCTTATATACAAATTCATTTTTATAATTATACAAAAAATTTACCAAAATTTTCTTCAGATGAATATATTTTTTATTATGATCAAACACGTTCAATACTTGGACAAATAATTGCTTATGATAATGATTTAAATGATGAAATATCCTATGAAATTTATTTACAATCAAAATCTATATCAATTGATCGATATACTGGTACAATTAAAGTTGAAAAAAATTTTTCATTTATTAAACCATCTATTGAATTTTATGCATCAGCTAAAGATTTAGCTAAACAAATTGTTTATACAAAAATAAAAATATTCTATATAATTGAACCAAAATTTCGTTCATATTTATATTATATAACATTAAATTCAACAAATTTTAAAATTCCATATGAAATTTATCAATTTGATATTGTTGATTTATTTAATCAACCATTAAAATCAATTAAATATCAAATAAAAAATCAAACAAATTTATTTGATATTAATGATAATAATAAATTAATTATAAAAAATTCTCTAAATATAACAAATAATTATTTATTAAATATAAATGCTTATTGGAAAAATTTTATTATACAAACATTTATACAAATACAATTTATAGAAAATTTTATTAAATTAAATAAAAATTTTTATGAATTTAATTTAGAAAAACAATTTTTATATGATAATTATCTTATTGAAACATTTAATATGGATTATAATTTAAAATTTATTAAAATTTTATCAACACCATTAACAAAATATGATTGTATTGAAAATTTTTATATTAAATTAAATCAATTATTTTTTAAAACATATCCAATTATAATAGATTTATGTTTTTTTGAATTAAATTTTATTAATAATAATAATATAACATTATATTCAAGTCAAATTAAAATTAATTTTATTAATACATATTTAAAACCAAAATTTTCATCAAATATTTATTATTTTAATGCAATAAAAAATAATAATCTATTTCGAATATTTGCTTTTAGTTCAAATTTAATAGAATATAAATTAGAAAATAATTCATATGGTTTAATTATTAATCAATTCGATGGTTCAATTACATTTAAATATGGTTTAATTTTAATGAAAAATATTGATTATATACAATTAAATGTTTATGCTATTGATAATAAAACATTATTAAATGATACAGCTTTAATTCATATATCATTTAATGAACAAGAACAATTTGAAATACCAAATGATTATTTACAAATTTCATTATGTCCTAATGTACCAATTTTACTTTCGGATCAAAGTTTACCTGGTAAGGAAAATTTTGGATCCGACGAAGCTCTAATGAAGAGGATGGTAGAAGTTTTCCCTACTAATATTGTCAAGCTTTCTCTGACAGTTTAATTTTGATTGTGATAGAAATTCATATGAAGACATTTTTCATCAGAATGTTTTGAGATGTTCAATAGAATATTATAGAACGATTTGATACGTATTGGTCTAAGGCTATGTCGATTACCAAAACGAATGAATAATAATCTTATTGGAAATAAATAAAAAGATATGTTCCGATTAATTGTACAGTTTTCATTATTAGTTATTTAGGAAATTAATATAATTTTGGAGATTATTTTTTTTTCTCATATCATGTTTTTTTATTTCAGGTACAGTCATTCAAGATGTTAGTTTTGATAATAATAGTATTCCATATAATTATTATATCCTATCGGGTGATAAATACGGTTTATTTGCTATAAATAATCTTGGTCAACTTTATTTAACATCACCAATGCTTAATAAAACATCTGAAGAATATTTTGAATTAACTATTCTTATATCATCATTATCATCATCAATATTCTATTGTCGTACAAATATAACAATTATTCGAACACCTAATTGGTCATATTTTATTTGTCCAGCAGTAAGTGATTTTGTTTTTTGTTTTGTTTCTTACATTGATTTTAAATATTGAAAATAGATACCAATTGAATGGATGATTGAAGAAGAATCTCCAATAGGTACAATAATTGGTACAGTCAAAGAAATTTTATTATTAATAAATAATTCTTCACAATTAATTGATAAAATACATATGGAATTAAATCATACAAATGATGATGCACAATCATTTCTTCTTAATTCTCAAACAGGTTTGTTAATTAATTTTTACATTTCGAAAGATAAAAACATATAATATTTTCGTTCTGAAGAGGCCTTTCATTAATAAATTTATTTTAAGTACGAAAAAAAGTCTTTTTTTTTTATTCAGGTATAATTACATCAAATTCACGTCTTGATTATGAACAAAAAACATCTTATTCATTTTTAATATTACTTGAACCAAATGAATTAAATTGTTCAATATTAATTTTTATTAAATTAATTAATATAAATGATAATCCAATAATATTTGATTTAAATTCATTAATGTATAATATAACAGAAAATAATCTTTTACCTTATTATATTGGTCGTATACGTTTGATTGATATTGATCAATTATATTCATATAATTATGAATTTTATCTTCAACAACAAACTACAACAGAAATTTCAATTGATTATATAACTGGTTCAATTATATTAAATGATAAACTTGATAGAGAATATCATGGATCAGAATTAGAATATGATATAATAGCAATTGATTATAATAATAAAGAAAATAATTTAACAAATAAATTAATTATTTCTATAAATGATATAAATGATCATGGACCAAAATTTGATCAAGATTATTATTCAATAAATATAAGTAAATCAATTCGTCCTGATACAATTATATTTCAAATAAATGCAACAAGTAAAGATCCAATTCAAAATGGAAATATAACATATGATTTAATAAATTCATCAGATTATTTTTTTATTAATCAACAAACAGGTATTATACGTTTAAAAAAATATCTTCCATCAACAATTATAAATTTTACATTGGTTATAAAAGCATTTGAAAATGATATTAATTTAACTGATTATACAAATTTATTTATAACAATTACTAATGATGATAATATATATTTTAATATTGATAATAATAATAATAAAAATTGTTTTATTGAAGAAAATAAAATAATTAATACAAATATTTGTACAATTGGTTTTAATTCAAATGATTTTATTTATGAATTAATTGATTATATGAATTATTTTTCTATATTTGAAAATAATGGTACAATTATTAATAAAAAAATATTTGATTATGAAATGGATCAACATGAATATAATGTTACAATTATTGTTAAAGATCGAGAAAATCAGGTAGAATAATTTTTCATTTTTTGAAAATTTCTATTGAAAATTAATTTTAATCAATAGATCAAAGAAGGGTCGATTGTCTCTCAAAGAAAAAAAAAACATTTAAATACCCGAAGAAGAGAAATTTCAGGTTGAATAGTATTCACACATAGAATATAAACTTCTCACGTGCAAAATCATTAATCCTCCTTGGTCTGGCGTGAATAGAATTTTTATTTATCCAGATTTTCTCTTCCGGAAAGGTAGTGCCTCCACGCTAGATAAAACACTGATCTGATCCGAGTCTAAAAATAATTTTAGGGTAATCAAAGCGAAGTATTTCATAGACTGAGCATTATTTTGTTGGTCGATCTATAATAAAATCTTTATATGTGAGCGTCTCCTTATTTTGAACAGTGTTCGCTTATTTCTCAGTCCATGAATATCTGTAATGTAAGCAATGTATATTCTATCACTCACGTACGAAACAAAAAAAGATGATGCTATGATAAACAATCATAGGACAGAGGATGGACTAGCTGTGGATATATAAAAAAGAAGAAGCTCGTATAAGACAAGAGCACTAGTGCTTGGTGTAACACCTTATTAATTTGGTGTCAACAGCTAGTAACATAAAATCATGTCAGAACGAGTTGATTCACTTCTGATTAAAAAATAAGTTGAATTAATCAATAAACCATCACCTTACGCAGCCGAAAAGCGAGTGTAACTGAATGCTTATAGATTGAAAAAAAAAGAAAGCTAAAAATCTCTCAATAATGAGCAGAATCAGCCGGTTTCGACTTCCTCACACAAGAAACTTGAACTTGAGTATTTCGACAAATCTCCTCTAGACTCGAATTACATGGATTCCGAAAATCTTTAGTCTATTTCTATAAAATTCAGTTATTTTCTCAAAATGACTTGTTCGATCGAAATCAATCTAAGACTACTATAGTTGTATCCTGCGTTCACCCCCTTTACCCAAACAGTGCATCGTTACCCTTGGATCCCTAATTTGAATATAGGATGATAAATTTATTAGCAAAATTTTGAAAATATCTTAATCGATGATATAAACAGCAAATTCTGTCTTTATAATAAAAAGTATTTTTTTTTGTTTCATTCTAGTCTATTATATTATCTTCACTTAATCTAACAATTTATATTCATAATATTAATGATAATAAACCAGAATTTTTAACTAAAAATTTAACAACAATTCTTTATTTATTCTATCCATCAATAAATACAATTATTCATAGAATTGAAATTATTAATAAAGATCAATTATATTTAAATTTTGAAATTCTTAATGATACATATTCATCATATAATCTTCAATCATCATTAAATTTTACTGAACTTATTCTAATTAATTCTATAGTTACTGATCGTGAAGATAATCTTATTATTCGTCTATCAAATAATAATAATAATAATACATACTTAACATCTTATTATATTGATTTATATATTCATTTAATATATATTCAACGTTCTATTGATTATCCAACAATAGTTCAACAAACAATTGATGGTTATATAAATTTTGATGAAAATTTTCCTTTAATTAATTTTGGTCAATTATTTATACAAAATCAATCTGATTATAAATTTATTTATTTTAATTTAAAATCAAATGAATATTTTTCTCTTAAACAATTATCAAATAATCATATTGAATTATATTATAATTCTTCATTACAACAATATTCTAAACAACAACAACAAAAATATCGTTTATTACAATATCAAATTGAATTAAATGTTATTGCTATAAATCAATCTATACCTGAAATCAATTTTTCTAATAATAATAATACAATAATATATTTTTCAAAAAATCATAATAATTTATTAAAATCACATTTAATTGATTTACATTTATGGCCTATTGATCGTGAAATGTTAGAACGTTCATTATCAATAATAATTAATTTAAATCCACAAATAACATATGAACAATTTATAATAAATAGTTTACCATTAATACGTGAATATTTATCTGATATAATTGGTGTTAATATACGTCATGTACATATATATACATTTGATTTAAAAAATCAACAACAAGTTGAATTACTTATTGCTATAATACGTTATCCATCACGTTTAAGACCACCACGTTATATACATAAAAAATTACTTTATAATGCATTAATAAATGTAACAAATTTATTTGAAAAAATTTTAAATATTAAATCAATTGAAAAAATTTTTATTAATCAATGTAATTTAAAATCATGTGAAAATAATGGTCGTTGTACAAGTCATATTAAATTACTTAATCATCAATATGAATATTTTTATTATGACACATATCAACGTTTAATACCTAAATATCAATGGAATATTAAATGTTTATGTTTAAATCATTATTATGGACAACGTTGTCAATATAAACAAAATTATCAATCACCATGTTCATCAAATCCTTGTTCATCATCGGAAAGATGTGTTGAAGAAAGTTCAACATTATATACTTGTCAATGTATTGATGAACCATGTAGTTATAATGAAATTTTATTAGAAAATACATTAGATTGTGTTAATATTAATTCACCAACATGTCGAGGTATGATATTATATATATATCTATATATGCAAAGAGATTTTGTCATGATTTGAAATATGGAAGATGTTTGTGTATTCTTAATTTGAAGGAAAAAATAATTGTCTAGAAAGTAAAATCGAAGAGGAGGAAAATGCAAACTTCACTATTATTAGATGACTAATGTAGGTCATGCGATTTAAAAGATGATACCCATATAATTCAAATCGAAAAAAAAGTCGTTAGTATAGTATACACTATACCGGTAAGCGTTTGATACTTAACCCTTTGACGGCGAAGCTGGAATTTAGTAAAACAGACTTTTTTTCAATATTTGTTATATTCTGACATAGACGCCACGTGTAACAGTATTGTATCTTTAAATCAAATTGAAGTACAAGAATTATGATCGCCAAGAATTTTCAAAATATTCCATGTTATCACTAGATTTTTACTTAAGTTGCTATAAAAATAAGTTCGCCATCAAAGAGTTAAACAGTCAGCTATCTTCTGACCGACATTCTATCACGATATACCGATAGCTGTTCCCCCGAACGGCAATCTATTACTGATATACTGTCGGTAGTGTGCACAAAATGCACAACATTGGTATTACCGTCTTTGCGCCAATTTAATATCGAACGTCATATGTCATCTAGACCATATTTTGTAAAATACGATCTAAAAGAAGTGTTGAAGTGCATACGGTTGAAATTCTCACTCCCCACAGACCATGACAGACATTGTTGATATACTATTAAAGATCGTATATCAATAAAATCTTGTTTTTTAATATATGAGCTACTTCCTTATTGCATATCTGAAGAGTAGGGAACTGTGAGTCCATGTTTTTGTGGATTCTGACCCGGACTCGCAGCTTCCTACTGGAGAGGGTCGTGGTGAAATGTTTCTCAATAATCCATAGATAGCCTACGAGAAAATTACAATTTCGATTTTGTTCACTGTATCGATCTGAATTTCTCCGAATGATTATTTATCCCTTAAAATTTATGCTTCCAGTAATCTTATTAATTGAAAAAACCTTTTATGAAGACTCCAACGATTTTAAGAAATTCCACGTTAGACTAGTCGTTTGATTGAAATTGAAAAGAAAGTATTTGATCATATTTAGAGTTTATATTTTGATATAGTATATTTCTTTCTTTGTTTTTATAAATTACTTTAATTTGTTTGAGAAAAAAAAAACTAAGATATATTTTCTTTAGATTCATCAAATACTTTAACATTCGATGGTTATAGTTTTGTTCGTATGAATATAACAATGAATTTAACTCATCATATAAATGTAACATTTACATTTCGTACTCAAGTTTCACAAGGAAAATTAATAAAATTAATAACATATGATGAAAATAATCAACAACATTTATTAGTTATTCAACTAAATGATGGTTATATTAATTTTCAATTAAATAAAAAAATTCTTTTTCAATTGAATGAAATTCTAATAAATGATAGTTTATGGCATCATATTTATTTTTCAATAGATTATACATTAAATAACAATAATAATAATGATTATTATTATCATATTCGTCTTGATCATGTATTTAGTAATAAAATTCATTTAACACAAAAAATATTATTAAAACAATTAAAAGAATTTTTTATTGGTAATGATTTTCATGGTTGTTTAGGAAATTTAACAATAAATAATCAAATAATTTATCTACAAAAAGAAAATAATAATAATAATAATAATAATAATCATTTAATTGAACATATTGGAACAAATAATGGTTGTCAATTAGCTGAAATTGAAACACGTACATTAAGACATTATACAATTAAAGATGATCTTTGTTCATTATATCATCCATGTTATCATGGTAGTTTATGTTCAAGTCAAAATACTAAACATGGTTTAAGTTTTACATGTAATTGTTTAAAACCAAGATTTTCTGGTCGACAATGTCAATATGATTTACAACCATGTTTAAGTCATCCATGTTTATTCAATGAACAATGTATTTCATCATCATTAATAAATCATTTAAATCAATCATATACATGTATATCATCATTAATTAATGTACCAATAGCAAATAAAAGTTCTTTATATATTGGATTAGCTTTAATTTGTTGTACATTTATATTATTTATCTTACTTTGTCTTTCGTTAATTATTTATTGTCAACAACAACGAAAAGATAAAAGACGAAATGATATATTAAATCATGATAAACCATTTGTATCAGCACCATTACTTATACAAAAATCATCACCACCAACACTACCAACAACAAATACAATTGAAATTCCAATTCAAACATTATTAAAATTAAATCAGAATGGAAAACAAACTATTGAAACTCTAGCGCTTGTTGATCATAATCATCAACCAACAACAATGAATAATTTTAATGATAAAGTATATAAAAAAATTTTTTTTTCTTTCTTTTTTTTATATTAACCTAATAACAGAAATATCTTCTTAGCAATCATATCAAATGAAAAGCAAAAAAAGAAATGTACAGAAAAAAAGAAGTTATTTGTCGTGGAATATATATAGCACTTTTGAAACATCCTATGCGATTCAAACCGTCGGTTGACCTTTGGGTATAAGATGTGCCCTATCGCCGATATACATAGTTATGAGCGGAACCATTCGTTTGTGATTCCAATCCCGCCGAGTTCGAGACTATCTTGCTCATATCTACCGATAGTTGGTTTTTTTGAGACCGGCAATTTACTATTGGTGTATTAACAATAGTACGACATGAGATGACTGTATTATTTTCAAAAAAAAAAACAAAGGAACTATTTAGAGAGATGTAAGTTATTTAGGAAATAATGTAAAATTGTGTACAATAGTAGTTAAGAGTCATATTTATTTTAAGCTGTGTATCATTTAATTTCAATTGTTCTCTCATAAAAATTTCGTAAGACTGAAAATATTTATATTGTGATAGGTTAGTTCGTTTTTTTTTCTTTTATTATTTTTTCCTATTGTTTTACATTATCTCTAAAAGTTAAAGTTTAAACATAAAGCTCAGAAGATGTGGTAAGCTTGTATATGACTGTACGATTACGAAAAGTTTTGTCTTTACAAGACTCGATTAATTTCGTTGATGACCAATACTAGATTAAGGCAATTAATATTACGAAGACAATATTGTAAATGTTTAAGAACGAGAATATATATATTCAATTTTTGACTTTACTAATTTCAATGAATGCTATTCTTGTTAATGCGACGAAAATATTTTAGAGATGGAATCGATTCGATCCTATATCTGAAATATACTCATACATCTTTGCAATTATTTTTATTTGATAATTCATTTAGGCAACTAATAATCAATTAAATAAATCATTACAATCAATTGATAAACATCAATATCAATCTCATGAATCATTAAATCGTCGTCAAGTAAGTTAAATTAACTTACGAAAAAAAAGAAGGCTAAATATTATCTTCAATCTAGAGTGATCCAAAATGTTATTCAACTATTGGAAGAATGAATATTCCACCAGATAATTTTCTTGTTCATTATAATAGTATTGATTATGGTTTGTAATTATTAAATTTTCTTATTTATTAGAATTATACTTTTCTTTTATAGACACTACACGTATTCCACTTGTTAATCCAGAATCAGCAGATTTATTTGATTGTAAGTATTATTTTTCTTATTCTAAAATAAATTTACACATTTTTTCTTTTTTCTTAGTTTCATCGTCACCAACAAGTAAGTTTTATTGTTTATTATCCTTTCATAAATGCAGT